AACGTGGCAAATGGGCTTCATTGTGGCCAAGTGCAAGGTGATGCACATTGGAGCCAAAAATCCTAACTATAAATACATGTTGATGGGGTCCGAACTAGCAGAGAGTGACCAAGAGAGAGATCTTGGAATTGTAGTAGATAACTCACTGAAAATATTAAGACTGTGTGTGACTGCAGTAAAAAAGGCCAATGCTATGCTGGGGATTATTAGGAAGGGTATTGAAAACAGATCAGCCAATATCATAATGCCCCTATATAAATTAATGGTGCAACCTAATTTGGAATACTGTGTGCAGATCTGGTCACCACACCTTAAAAAGGATATTATAGCTTTGGAAAAAGGGCAGAAAAGGGCAACTAGAATGATAAAGGGGTTGGAACACTTTCCCTTTTTTCCCTACGAAGAAAGGTTAAGGCACTTGGGGCTCTTTAGCTTGGAGAAACAACGGCTGAGGGGTGACATGATTGAAGTTTATAAGATGGGACAGAGTAAGTAGAGTAAGAGGTACTTTTCTCCCTTTCTCACAGTACAAGAACTCGTGGGCACTCAATGAAATTGCTGAGTGGTCAGGTTAGAACAGATAAAAGGAAGTACTTCTTCACCCAAAGAGTGATTAACAGATGGAATTCACTGCCACAGGAGGTGGTGGTAGCTACAAGTATGAACGGCTTCAAGAGGAAATTAGATAAGCATATGGAGCAGAAGTCTATCGGTGGCTATTAGCCACAAGGTGTAGATAGGGACTCTGGGGCAAGCGATGCTCTGTCTTCTTGGTGCTTGGGGGCGGGTCAACAGTGGGAGGGTTTCTAGTGTCCTGGCCCACTGCTGGACCTCCTGATGGCACCTGGTATCTTTGTCCACTATGTGACAGAGTGTTGGACTGGATGGGCTACTGGCCTGATCCAACACTGGCTTCTCTTATGTTCTTATTTTGTGGTGGAGAGGCTGTATTTTCACAGATTCCTTTTCTAAAGCAAGATAGCACAAATATGGATTCTAAAATCCAACTCTCTGGTAATTCCTTGCAGCATGACAACTGCCTTGGAACACTGAGGGAGCCAGGCTGTTGAAGAGCTTCCCCAATGATGTTCCTGAGGGAATATGCTTCTCCTGACTGAGCCTGGCTGGCAGCTCGCCTTCCATCCAGAATAATGCTTTAAGATTTTATCCATCCCAAGAAGGCAGCTGTTAATAGCATGGTTCCGCAGATCTACTAACAGAAGGCTTAGCTCTCTAAGCAGAAGCTAACATTGTGCTTAAATCATACTGGTTCACCTAGACTATGTTGCCCATACAGCTCTTTGTTAGACCACCCCTCATAAGAGTGGTACTCTCCGCTTTGCACAAATGTACCAACTCCTTTCCCACTAGGCATTTAATGGAAGCTTTATATGCAGGCTTAATTCAGGCTTCAGGTATTCAAAATAAAACCGGAATCATTCAGACCCTATCTAGGGAGCCTTTGACTTTAATTCTTGTCTTGCAGGATACCATATTAAATCTTGCAATTGTCTATACTTCTTTCTGGCTTTGATCAGGGTATACACATTTAATATTGTCTCATCTGCAGCTTTCTTCAATGTGTTAGAAATCTTTATGGAAAAACTGGCAGTTCACTGGAGGTTCTTTGGTTGTGGAGAGTGTCTTTCTTTCTTTCTTTCTTTCTTTCTTTCTTTCTTTCTTTCTTTCTTTCTTTCTTTCTTTCTTTCTTTCTTTCTTTCCCCGCCCTCCCAGACATGGCCAGCTCAGGCCAGCTCTTGCTTTATGGAGAGCTGACAGAAAGGTCTGACAGCAGGGTCACGTAAAAGGTCTTTATGTTCAAATCTGAGCATCAATTAGCTCAGCCTAAAAAGTGAAAGCACCTCTGAAGTGGTCTCATTTCTACGGCTGGGCTCTGAACTCACTGTAATCAGAAGAAGCATTTTTTCCCCCTTTGGATTTTGGAGTACATCTCCTGGTCTACAAAAGTCTTCTGTAATTTATTGTGGTACTTCAGTACTCCACTCATGGTTAAGGCTTCTGGCCAGGTTGGAGAGCATTCATAATTATGCTGCCTTCCCTGCTGTGTACATTTTCACATCTTCCTTCCCAATCATTGGTTGTTTTCTACAGGACACACAGTTCCAGTTGGCATCTGCAGCTAACTTCTGCCTTTCAAAGCAGGTGGTGACTCCATAGGGGTGCCTCTGGCCTACTGAGCAGCCTGTGATTCTTCCATATGGTCCTTATCCATTCTTTTTATTCCTGCTTCTTGCACAAAAACATTCACTAAGTATGGTTTCCAGATCCCCTCACTGAGCTGGTGAGGGGGTGGGGGGTGGAGAGCGTTCTGGAATGTTGGTGATGTTACACAGTAGTGCTCTGGTTTAAGGGCAAAACTCTATGGTTTTAAGTCAAATTTATCATAGAGTTTTGTCCTCAAACCAATAATGTGCAATGCCCTTGATGTGATGATGTCTCTTTCAGGTGATGTCATTGCATCAGGTATGTCGCGCCAGGATGTGGCTGTTCTGAGGGCAGGGTTTCCCCTGTGAGCCAGCTGGCTGGTGGTGGGCAGAAGCCCTGAAAAGCAAAGGAACCCCTGCTGGGACCTGGGGACTGGCAACCCTATCACTAAGGGAGGCACATCTAAAAGGGAACATCTTGAAGGACCTCCTCCTCCTGTATTGACCTTCCCCCCAGTTAAGATCTCAAGTCCTCTCTGTTCTCCTGCTTTCAGAGGTGAGGTGATTGGTAGGACTACAGAGAAGTGCCACCTGGCCTGTGGAATGTCCTTCCCCTTGAGCCTGTCCTGGTGCCTGCCTTGTGTCAGGTCAAAATGTTTCTCTTTAGAAAGGCTTTTAATTGAAAAGGTTCCTTTAAAAAAATTATGGTCTGCTTTTTAAATTTATGCTGCTTTTATGTCCTGGCAGGTTTTATTGACCTAGATTTATAGTCTTGATCTGTTTTCCTGTTCTCCTGGCTTGGTGGTAGTGTTTTGAATTGCGTACACATTTTCTTAACAAATAAATCTCACTTATAAAATAAAGCTTTTGACCATAACCTCCTACCCAAACAGAGTTCTAAGACTGAGAAAGACTAGGAGGTATATCTGTGCTTTCAGAGTTTTGAATTGCATGCACATTTTCTAAACAAACAAATCTCACTTAAAATAAAGCTTTTGCCCATAACCTCCTACCCAAACAGAGTTCTAAGACTGAAAAAGACTAGGAGGTATATCTGTGCATAGAGCAGCAGTCTGAAACTATAGGAATTACTGGAAAATCAGGATTTCTTCTTGTGTCCCCAGAACAACACTGAAAATCCCACCACCATACAGACTACACAGACATTGTTATAAGTCTGCTGAGATGGCAAGAGATATGTGGGGAGGAGCATGGTCAAAGCCCAACCTGGAAGCTCTAATAATGCCTTGACCCATGTTCTTCTCTAGCCTGTCATCTCTCTGTAACCTTCTTCCTCCAGCCAGAGTTGGACTGGTTCCTTTCTAACATCACCAAGGCCTCAGATTTAAAACCTGCTTTGGGCAGATAACTGCAAGCTAAAGCCTCCAGAAATTGTAGCACATGGAGATGGGACGTCTATCTGTCAGATACTTGCAGAGAGCACAATGTGAAGCACATTTCTTGGTACCAGAATGCAAGCTGTTGGCTCCTCCTTCAGGAAAAGATAGGGGGGAAAGAAATATAACCCGAGGCAGTAGTGTTTTTGGGGTCCTGGGCAAAAGCCTGGCCACAGAACCATTGCCACAACCATCATCACCACCACCACCACCCCAGCCTGGTCCCATCCCAGAATCAAGCAAGGGGTAGACCTTGCCCTGTGCAAGGTGAGTGGGAGACAGTGCGTGGCAGATGCAAAGCCAGCCAGCCACTGTCTGAACTAGGGTTGCCAGGTCCCCTTTGGAGGGTTGGGGGAGTAGGGTGGCTAGAAACAGTTTGGGAATCTCCTGGAGGACAGAGCATGGGAAGGACAGGGATCTAAATGGGGTACAATGCCATACAGTCCACCCTCCAAAGCTGCCATTTTCTCAAGATGAGCTGTAATTCTGGCGATCCCCAGCTCCCACCTGGGGCCCGGCATCCCTAGCCTGAGCCCCTGAAGGGACAGGCAGGCTGCACAGCAGCCATGTCTTCCTCTTTTTTTCTCCCTCCATTGGGGGGATGGGTGGTCAGGGTCCCACCCAGCCCCAGGCAACTCTCATTGATGCCCCAAGGCTAAGATTGTTCCTGAATATAAGTCTTCAAACAAACCCTGACCTGGATAGCCCAATCTTGTCAGATCTCAGAAGCTAAGCAAGGTCAGCCCTGGCTAGTATTTGGATGGGCGACCTCCAAGGAATACCAGGGTTGTGACACAGAGGCAGGCAATGGCAAACCACCTCTGAAACATCTCTTGCCTTTAAAACAAGTCTAGCTCACCACCTAGTGGTGCATAATGCTAAAAGAGCCAGAACTTCTGGCTGCCAGACAATCTTAGGATCTCTTGGTTATATTACATACACTGCCATATGATAATTAATTAATCTTAGAACTTGAAAAGTTTTGCATATTCTCACAAACACAGCTTTTATCCTATAAAAAGCAGTATTTTGTCTACTTCCTAGACCACACAAGACAACCAGACTAAAAAATAAATTAATTAATATTTTAGCTCTTTCTTAGACTCCGTTTTTAGATATTCTTAGACTCTCTCCCTTCTTTATACTCTGTGCAGAAGAGCAGACTTAGGCCAGGTGCACCAAGCATATTACTAAGCACAGAGCATAGAAAAGTAGATGTTCCTAAAATGTCTAGCAGTATCTGATGGATATTGATTTTGTTCAGAATGCATCTGCAAGTCCCTCGATTTAAACTTTATACATTCCATCAGCAGCTTGTGACAAGCTCCCATCAGTGTTCTCTTGGGGTAGCCTCTACCAATTCCACACTCTGGAGAACAGCTGAAGAGCTTAGAGTGCATTACAAGGAGCAGGAAAAGAGCCAGCAGAAGGCACTTACCACAGTAATCACATTTGTTGCCGGAACTGGTAGATTTTCCACTTCCTGGTCCTCACCTGTCATAGCTAAGAGATTGAGAGATGGGTCATGTGCAGGTCTCGAAAACGTTGACTTAAGTACAATGGCAGGGTGCAGCTTGTTTAGTTTTGCATGAGAAGACAGATGAGATTTGAGTCCATAATCCGTCTGATCACTTGTATCTAAACTTTTTTCAACACTTTGCACATGATGGTAAATGAAGATTGGCTTCCCAGTCTTTCTTTGATGAATTGCCAAGAAGTGGTCATTGTCCCCGGAAAAGCTCCCTGTGAAAAACAACAGAGGAGGAAACACTAATGAATTTACAAGTGAAGTACCTGATTATTATTTTATGTTTCTTATTCATCTATTTGGGATATGTGGCAGAAATGTCACAAGAAGTAAAAAATTTCATTTGGTAATTCAGATTTAATACCATCTAAGCTGCACTAGAGAATATGGAATTAAAAAATTGAACATGATTCTTTATGCTTCCTCTGGGTACATGTTTAACTGCTTTCAAATATGTTTTTTTTGGGGGGGGGGAGATTTCATATTTTTTGCCTTTTCTTTAAAATGAGATTGCATTTTCCCACTCTACACACACACCTTATACACATTTAAACAGTCTTCTTAAATTGCAGCCGCCTTATGGCAACCCCATAAGGTTTTCAAGGCAAGAAATGTTCAGAGGTGGTCTGATGAGATGAGCCTATCCTGTGTTATCCAGGACAGGGTTCCTAAATAAATAGTGCAGCCTCTACATTCACAGTAAAATAGGCCAAGTTTCTTGCTTTGTCTTGCTGTTGTTTTGTCTTGCTGTTGCTTTGTCTTGCTGTTGCCGTAATATAGGACACGACTATGAAACCAGTAGGGTAATCCTAGGCAGAGCTATGCCCTTCCAAGCACATTGACTTAGAATGGATTTATAATGATGAAACTCTGCTCAGGATGGCTCTGCTACCATTGACTGGATCTGGTAACCACTCACCTCAGAGTTATGATATTTTAAAATTTTATATAGTTGTTTTTTTGGGATAAATATGTTTCTCCTGGTTCCAGGTAAGGGGGAAACCTGCTCCAATCTCTGAAAATACCAATATAATTTGTTCCTTATTTGTCAGTTGGGGAGGGAGACTACAGCATGCGTATTTTGTGAAAAATCAGAACAAGAAACAGCATGTTCCATTTTGCTCTGAAGTGGATTCTTTGTCCTGTCTTTGATGAGTAACTTATTTAAAAATAAAATCCTATTCAAACAGCCATCTGGACCCATGACAGTAATGGCAAAAGCCTGAGACTTCTGGCCCCTTTAACCGCATCACTTTGCTCATTTGATTAGGTAGTAGATAGTTGCTCTAATTGAATTAGGGTTTCCTTATTTTACTACTGAAAAATGAAAAGTTTTTTCTCCTAAAAATATAATTTGGTTCCAGTTTCTTTTTTTAAAAAAAGTCTCTCCCTCTGAACATCACCATGGCCCCTTTTCCTGATTCTTCTCCCAAAGAAGAAGATCTTTCCTACCTTCACAACTCCACCACAGGTACTTTTTAACAATTTCTCCACCAATATAAGACTATAGATTTCAATCAAATGCCACTGAATGCTGCAAATAAACTTTGCAATCACCAACTCTCTGTGGCAGATGGTACATCTCACAACAGAACAGTTTGGCTCTCCCCCTCCACCCTTCCATTCAGTGTATTCAATGTTCACAACATTCATCACATCACTTGGGGGAAGTAATGCCAGTAAGCAGGAATTTAAAAAAGGAATGGGCCAGATATTTTCTTTTGCCACTCCAGAGACCTGCTTGAGGCTGCTCACAATGTAAATATATGAGATTACTGAAATGCACTCTGTGAGGGGCTGTCCTAGAAGACTGTCCAGAAGCTACTGCTGGTACAGAATGCTGCAGCCAGCATGTTGACAGGAGTGGGTCACAGGGACCGTATCACTTTAGCCTTGTTCTCTCTACACTGGCTCCCAGTTTGCTGGGCTCAATTCAAGGTGATGGAATTGACCTCTAAAGCCCCATAAGGCTGGGGGCCAGCATACCTGAAAGATTGCCTTCTCTCATATGAACAGACCCATGCACTCTGGTCATCTTCAGACTGAAGATGCTTAGGGTGGCCCTGCCATCTGAGGCTAGATGGGTGGCATCCCAAGGAAGGACCTTCTTGGTCACTGCACTGAAACTTTGGAACTCCCTCCCCAGGTAGATTCATCTGTCTCTTGTCATTTGTGTGCTGGCAGACAAAGACTTATTTGTTTTGTTTGGCATACCCCCGATGACGCTTATTGGCCCTCCTCCCTGGTTGGCTTGTCTTCATATGTTTTTGTGGAATTGCTTTTAAAATATACTTTATTTTAAATATGTGTTTGTTTTAAATGATTTAATGTTTTGATGTTCATCAACTTAGGGATCCTATTTCGGTGGAAAGGTGGCATAGAAAAGTTTCCAATAAATACAATAGAAATCATAAAAACAACAACATATGAATTATCAATATTAAAAACAACCTGGGGCATTTATTCATTCTAGGGTTCCCAAGTCCAATCTTCTTCCCAGTGGGTGAATTAGGGGGTATTCCAGGAAGGGGTGTGGCCACCCCACCGCGATGACATCACTCCACGTGATGTCATCACAGCCCGCTTTCCCCCTATCATTGAAAGGTGGGGGGGAGACCCAAGCACCTCTGCCTTTAAAAGGTGTGGGGGGGAGACCCAAGCACCTCTGCCTTGCAAGAGCCGATCTTGCCTCTTGCAAGGCAGGAGCCAACAGTCCCCACTCAGGAAGAGTGGGTGCCGGGCTCCCCTGCCTTGCAAGAGGGTATCTTGCCTCTTGCAAGGCAATAGCTGACAGCCTCCACTTGGGAAGATTGGGTGCGGGCTAGTACCCACCGGCTGCGAGCACTTAAAGGGGTCCCTTTAAGTGCTTGCAGCTGGCAGCCCCGGCGTGCTCGATCTCCAAGTGGCAATGCCACTTGGAATTCAGGCAAGCTTCCAACAGCCAGCCACCCCTCTCTCTCCCTTCAAGAGAGAAGGGAGAGGGGTGGCTGTGGGTGTTCAGACTTGGGGGCGGGGCTCCCCCCACCAGCCAACTGGCTGTTGGTGGGTTGAAACCCCCCAAAAGTGGGTAAACCCCGCCAGACCAGGAGATCTGGCAGCCCTAATTCATTAATTCTGTTTTTATCCCATCCTCCACCACAAGCAGGGTTCAGGGCAGCTTACAACATATATAAATATAACAATATAAAAACTAAAACATTATACAATAACATTTAATTCAATACAGAATAAGGTAGATTGTAAAATGGCTCCAATGTGGTTAAATTACTCCAGAATTCCCATCATATGAGTCCTCAGGTGGTTTGATAGTTTAATGAGTGGCAAAACTTCCACCAGTAATAACATAAGGTAATGCCTGCAAATAGCACTGGCAGATGGAGCAGGTGAGTGAAGGGATTATAGTTTGGTATCCACCACCTCAACCAAAGGCCTGGCAGAACATCTTTATTTTGCAGGCCCCGTGGAACTGCAACAAGTCCCACAAGGCCCTGATCTCACTTGACAGACTGTCCCACCAGGCCGGAGCCAGAGCCAAAAAGGCTCTGGCTCTGGTCCAGGCAACGCGGATGTCTCTTGGGCTGGGGATCACCAATAGATGTTGATCTGAAGAATGCAAGGCTCTTCAGGGGACACAGTGGGAGAGATAGTCCATCAGATATGCTAGTCCCAGACTGCACAGGGCTTTAAAGTTTAATACCATAACCTTGATCCGGCATTAAAAACCATAACAGGACATTCAGCAGCCTAACACATTATCCATAAAACTACCCTCAGTTAGAAGCAGACCATAAACTCAGCCTTAAAAAGATGGAACCCTTTAGCTGAAATTCTTAGTTGGAAACAAAGTTTTTGTGTGGTTCTAATGGACAGTAAGGTACAAGTCAGGCAAACCTCAAGGGACATAGTTCCAAAGATAAGATGCCATCACTGAAAATGTCCCGTCTCCAGTTGCCACCCCCTTCACCTCTGCAGGTGGGGGCACAGAGAGCAAGTCTTGAAGATCTTAAATAGAAGGCTGTACAGTTCTGAATTTCTTATCCCTCCTGTTTTGATCTCAGAATATTCATTTCAATTTCAATCAATTGTTTATTTCAATACAAAATCAGCTCTGAAGAATCAGCAGTAATAAAAAAGAAATAGAAATAAATAAATAGATTAAAAAGGTAAGGGGGACATGCAGTGCAAGGGGGACCTAATATTGAGCACAAATTATGGAGTGGTGAAGAGGTACTTTCCTCCAATTAAGAGGCTATTTCTGGACTTCAGTCAGGCATTTGCATATCCCACTTGCCCGAAGGCAAAATTTTGCTTCATTTCAATTTAATTTTTCCCTTGCTTGAAGCAAACCAGTGATTCTTTACTTTTGCACCATTTTTTCTGCTTCCTCACACCAAATTTTTCACAAAATGCATGTATTATTTGTGTATCAGTAAATCATCATTCATCATGTGTATACAGTACACATACATGATATATATCGGAAGTACAAATCCTGAATAAACTGTGTATGAAAGCTGTAAACATATGTACACTGTGCATGTGAATTTACTAAAGGGGGGGGGGAATGAATAGGCAGCTGAAATACTTTCCCAATCCTATAATACATTAGCAATGCCATCCTAAGCAAAGCTATACCCTTCTAAACTGTTTGACTTCAATAGACTTAGAAGGGTATAACTCTGCTTGGGATTGCACTGTTAGATTTAATCATTAGCTGATTTAGTTGATTCAAATCTTTAATTGCATTACTGTTGGGAGAAGGAATTAAACAGGTGGGAGTTCAGGTCACATCTATAAGGTCACATTTCTGGAATAAAGAGTGAAAAATTAAATATTTAGATGGCATTTCTATTGTTAACTCAGTTGCCAGGACTCTCAAAAAGTCACATATTGAGGTTCAAAATGCAAATGTATTAATTTATTATTAATTATCTGCCATTAAACTGACACATCTTTAATTGGTTGACACTTCTACTGATAATGATGGCAATTTGTAAGTCGGGAGCTGGCACAGCGTACTGGCTAAGTGAAAGAACTGTGACCTGGCAAGTTCAGCTCTCACCTCCACCACAGTTTCACTGGATGAAGCCATTCTCTCTTAACTTCACCTTCCAGCTACAATATGGGATAATAATATTGGCCTACTTTATAGAGCTGTTGCAAAGACTGCCACACGACAATGTATGAGAAGCACTTTGAACTCTTGAAATAACTCTATACATGCTAAAGAAGATTATTGTGGCAATTATATGCAGTTTCAATGATTTTAGTGGAACTTGTACACACATAATGGCTAAGATTACCAACCTCGATATGGGGTATGGAGTGCTCAGAATTAATGCCGATCTCCAGTTTACAGGGATCAGTTCCTCTGGGGGAAATGGCAGCCTCACATCCTTAGCATGCTCTTTTCCCTCTCCAAACGCCACCTTCTTCAGGCACTGCCCCGAGTCTCCATGAATTTCCCAAAACAGTGTGGGCAACCCTAATAAAGGCATGCCCCTGGGGTCAGCCTTAGCACTTTCAGTGGTTGGTCACTTAATGTGATATTTAGTCCAATCCGCTACAAACTTTGTTATTTCTTTGGGTTTAAGTACACCCAGTCTTATATAAGAGGCTACTAGTCTACAAGCGTTTTACAGACAGACAACTGAGGCTGTACGGTCACTCCATGTCCATGGAGTTCTGTGTCCAATTCCTTTATGTTTACCACTGAATCTTAGTAGCTTTGTCAAAAAATAAACTTTTTAAAAAATTCTCAAGTGCTTTGCATTTCAGTCTCATGCTGGAATACATGCTGGATTTTCAAAACTCCATCCCACCACATAAGGAAAAACTCCGAATTTATTACACAGTGTGTTGGATCCAGACTAACCTGGCAATTTCTGAGGATTCTCCTCCCAGCTGCTGACCCACCCTCCCCATGTCATTTCTCTGGGCCCCTTCCCCCAGGAGCAGCATTTCGTGGAGATCAGTGGGCTGCACTGGGAAGAGGGAGGCAGGGAAGTCCACTCTGCCACTGGAAAATTAAGTTTGGATCCAACCCATTATATTTTATTTTTCTTCCTCAGAAACTTCACATGTGCAGCTTTGGTTAAAACTTGGATTTATCTGAATGTGGGAGACTGAGCTCTTGGATTATTAAATATTGCTGAACCTGCTTTCAAAACAGATTCAGAGTGCTCTAACACGGCCCCTGTCCCTCTTTAACTGTTCCCATTCCCTTTGACCCAATTTTCATTTGGCTATGTACACAGCAATCATCATGGTGCTTGTGCCTGTAATTGGAAAGGTATACATAAGGAGCAGAGCCAGAGGAAATTGAGTAGCAGCGGCTACAATGGAAGGGAGCGTTATAAGAGGGAGGCAGTGTTCCTGTCCTGTCACACATGAACCTGCACAAACATTTGATTCCATGTTTGACACTATCAAGATCACCCATGACTGAGTAAAGTTGCCAGCTCTGGCTTGGAAATTCCTGGTGATTTGTAGGGAGTTCCTCAGGAGGGTGGAGTTTGGGAGGGAGAGGGAGCCCAGAGGGGATGTGATATCACTCTAGGACTTCCATTTCTCCTAGACTTTATGGTGTACCATACAGTCTGCCTTCTGAAGCTCCCATTTCCTCCAGGGAAACTGATCTCTGCAGTGTGGAGATCAGCTATAATTCTGGGAAAATTCCAGTCCCAACCTAGAGGTTAGTAATCCTACTGAATGGAGATTTGAAGCCAGATCTATCCAAGCCAAATCTAACACCCTTATCCACAACACCACACTGTCTTGCTTTCCTTCATAATTTCATCCCCCAGTTAAAGATATTAAAGTATAGAACATATCCACTGAAAGGATGATGTAACGTAAAACCATGTGGAGCCACACTGATTTCATCAGTAACATCTGCTTAACAAATCCCTCTCAAATGACAGTGGAGTCACATGGCAGGAACAACAGTATGAATTGTATTAATGTAAAGAATAGAAAGTAACACGCTCAATATTTGACTCTAAGAGTCAAATACAAACAGACAATATTATGAAA